CCTGCCACATTTCGTTGGCAGCCTGGGATTCTCACTACTGCCGTGCGCGATGGATGTTGGGTTTTGATTGAAGATATAGATCTCGCGTCAATGGACGTGTTATCTATCTTATTTCCTTTGCTTGAGACTGGTCAACTTTTCATTCCAGACAAAGGTCAAAAAATTTATGCAAAGCAGGGTTTTCAATTATTTGCAACAAGAAGTTTAATGTCCGACTGTGATAATGAGATTTCAAAAAGGCAAACGACTGATTCTGTTATCGGTCATACATTATGGACCAAAATTAAAGTACAATCCCAAAGTATCGATGAACTAGAATCTATAGTTGCAAATCGTTTTGGAGGTTTACAGGATTTAGTTCCCGATATTATACGTGTTTATAAAGCCATGGTTTCCATTTATCAAGATGTTACAATGTTTTCATCAAATGCACTTAGATTTATATCTGCTCGTGATTTGATGAAATGGTGTAAGAGAATCGAATTTTTTATTGGTTCAAATGATCTTGTGACTTATAGTCAAGGTCTTTCAAATAAAGTGCGAGAAGAACTTTTCAAAGAAGCCGCTGATTGCTTTTGTGCCATGATTTCAGACTATAAAAGTTGGTTCATGGTGTTAGAGAGGCTTGGTGAAACTCTAGGAATGACTGATCAATGGGTTCAATTCTATGTAAATTCTTACATTCCAAACATTAATATTGATGATAAGGATATTATAATTGGACGGGCTCGGTTTCTTTCAGTGAACCGCAAAAAAAATATAAACATTAAACGTGAATCACAACAACAATCATTTGCCAACACAGGTCATACTTTAAGATTATTGGAACAAATTGCAGTATGTGTTCTTCTATGTGAGCCTGTCCTATTAGTTGGCGAAACTGGAACTGGTAAAACGGCAACAATTCAATATTTAGCTGAACTTATGCATCAAAATCTTATCGTTGTTAATTTGTCACAACAAGGTGATAGCAGTGATCTTCTTGGTGGTTTTAAGCCGGTTGATGCAAAAGTTATAGTTACGCCCTTGAAAGAAGAATTTGATAAATTATTTAGAAAAACTTTTTCAGTGCAAAAGAATTCTCGTTTTTTGGAAACAATACATAAAATGTATGTTACCAAGAAATATTCAAAATTAGTAACTTTAATGCAAGAGGCAATTAAATTAGTTGAGACAAGTTTTAACACGGAACAAAGTCAAGATGAACAAAAGAATTCACGAAAAATATCAAGTCCTGAGCTAAGAAATCAATGGAAATTATTTGAAAATTCTGTTAAGGAATTTCAATACCAGCTTGATCAAATACGTAACAAATTTGTTTTTAAATTTGTTGAAGGTTCTTTAGCGAATGCTGTTACAAAAGGTGATTGGATTCTTCTGGATGAAATTAATTTAGCATCAACAGAAACCTTAGAATGTTTAAATAGCATTCTTCAAGATTCAGAGAGCTCTTTGTTATTAATTGAAAAAGGTGATTCTAAACCAATCACTCGTCATCCAAATTTTAGAATTTTCGCATGTATGAATCCTGCAACTGATGTAGGCAAGCGGGATCTTCCACCTGGACTACGCAGCCGATTTTCAGAGTTTTATGTTAATTCTCCAGATAGTAGACGGGATGACTTGTTGTGCATTGTAAAAAAATACTTATCGGGATGTATTCATGGCGAAGATCGTGTCTGTATTGAAATAGTTGATTTTTATTTGGAGGTAAAGGAATTGCAACGACAGCACAAGCTTGTTGATGGATCAAATCAACGTCCTCATTTTAGCATGAGAACTCTTACTCGCGCATTGAGCGTTGTCTCTCAAATCACGCCAATATATGGATTAAAACGTTCTATTTATGAAAGTTTCTGTATGACATTTTTGACTCAATTGAACAAAGAAAGTGAAATAATAATGCAAGGCTTGATCGAAAACTGTTTGTTAAATGATATTAATCTTAAGGCTCTAATTACTCAAATTCCGCGACAGCCGTCTAACGCTGATTATGTCCAATTCGGATGTTATTGGTTAAAAATTGGGCAATATCCTTCAAAAGAAGTATCAAATTATATATTAACGCCTTCAGTAATGAAAAATTTGAACAATATAGCGAGAGTTGTCATGAGCAGTAAATTTCCAGTGTTACTTCAGGGCCCTACCTCAGCTGGAAAAACGAGTATGATTCATTATTTGGCTCAAAGAACTAATCATCGATTTATGAGGATTAACAACCATGAACATACCGATCTTCAAGAATATCTTGGTAGTTATGTTACAAACAGTGAAGGCAAACTCGAATATCAGGAAGGGATACTTGTTGAAGCAGTGAGAAAAGGTTATTGGCTTGTGTTAGACGAGTTAAATCTCGCACCTACTGATGTATTAGAAGCTCTAAATCGTCTTTTAGATGATAATAGAGAACTTTTTATTCCTGAAACACAAGAAGTGATCAGACCACATAGTGACTTTATGCTTTTTGCGACTCAAAATCCACCTGGATTATATGCCGGGCGTAAAGTACTTTCCCGTGCATTTCGTAATCGGTTCGTTGAGATACATTTCGATGATATTCCGGAAGATGAACTAGAAACTATTCTTTCGGAGAGATGTGCTATTGCTCCATCTCATTGTAAACGTATGGTCCAAGTCTATAAAAGACTTATGGAACAACGTCAAAGTACAAGAATTTTTGAAAAAACAGCATGGATTTATTACATTAAGAGATTTATTCCGGTGGGCAAAAAGGGGTGCGATAGATTATAAGGAATTGGCTGAACAGGGTTTTATGCTTTTGGCAGAAAGGGTAAGAAAGCCTGATGAAAAATTAATTGTTAAACAAGTATTAGAGACGGTAATGAAGGTAACTATCGATGAAAATGCCATATATGATTGCTCTAAATTGGATGAGTTTAAAATGTATCAAAAAAACAATATAGTTTGGACAAAAGCTATGAAACGATTATTTATGCTTGTTGCGCAATGTTTAAGGTTTAATGAGCCTGTCTTATTAATTGGTGAAACTGGATGTGGCAAAACGTCAGTGTGTCAAGTGTTGGCCGAAGCTCGATACACTGACTTGTATGTTTTAAATTGTCATCACAGCACTGAAACTGCGGATTTGCTAGGTGGGCAAAGGCCGTTGAGAAATCGAGATGTTTTGAATTCTGAACTTAAACACGATATTTCTGAGTACTTGAAAAATCATGAACAACATGATATAGATTTGGAAAAGCTTGATTTGTGTGAATTGGTTAGACATCTTGATCTTGTTTCCAAAGATGAACAGAACTTACAAATTGATAAAGATAAAGTCAAACACTTATCATCAAGATATAAACAGTCTTGCACTTTATTTGAATGGATTGATGGACCGCTTGTTAAGGCCATGAAAGGTGGATCGTTTTTTTTACTAGATGAGATTTCTTTAGCTGATGACTCTGTTATAGAGCGTCTTAATAGTGTTCTTGAGCCTCATCGAAGTTTAACATTACCGGAAAAAGGAGGGAAGTGCATTAAAGAATTAGTTGCTGAAATTGGGTTTCAATTTTTGGCGACTATGAACCCTGGAGGTGATTATGGGAAAAAAGAATTGTCACCTGCTTTGAGAAACAGATTTACAGAGATTTGGGTTCCGCCAGTATCAAGTGAGGAAGATCTGTTGCAAATTATTAGTTCACAACTTATATATCCTGAGTCAAAAAACGTTGGACTGTCGATTTTAGAATTTATAAATTGGTTTTTTCATATACTTGGTAATCAGGGCGCAATCATTAGTCTTAGGGATATTTTGTCATGGGTAAACTTTATTAATGTCACTATAGGACAACTTGGTCCCAAAGAATCCTTTATTCAGGGTGGATGCCTAGTATTCTTAGATGGACTTGGATCGAGTTCCGCATCACGCACGTTATTATCAGGGCAAACTTTAAAAGATATTCGAATGAAATGTTTGACGAAACTGAAAGAATTAAGCGCTAATTTTGCTGTTTTTGAATCATTTGTCAATTTTGATTGTGAGCCAATTAAAATACATTCCAATGAAACACATTTTGGTATTAATTACTTTTCTATACCTAAAGGACCATATATATCTCATGACATTACTTTTACTTTACATGCACCTACTACTTCGGATAATGCTATACGCATTCTTCGAGCTATGCAAGTCCGAAAACCCATTTTATTGGAAGGTAGTCCAGGCGCTGGTAAAACTAGTTTGATCACTGCGTTGGCAGCAGCGTCAGGTCACAAACTTGTTCGTATAAACTTATCTGATCAGACCGATTTGATAGATTTGTTTGGTTCAGATCTTCCTGTTGAAGGTGGAATAAGTGGCGAATTTGCATGGCGAGATGCACCATTTTTACAAGCAATGAAATCAGGGGATTGGGTATTATTAGATGAGCTTAATCTTGCATCACAATCTGTATTAGAAGGCCTCAATTCATGCTTAGATCATCGTGAAGCGATATACATACCAGAACTGGACAAGGAATTCTTCTGTGCTAAAGAATTTCGCGTTTTTGGTGCGCAAAATCCTTTGCATCAGGGTGGAGGTAGAAAAGGCCTCCCTAGATCATTTATTAATCGATTTACACAGGTTTATATTGATCAACTCACGAATAATGACCTACTCTTTATATGTAAGAGCTTATTTCCACAAGTAAAGGAAGTTGTTTTGGAAAAAATGATAGAGTTTAATACTCGGATAAATGAAGATATAATGATTAAATGCTTATATGGGCGAAACGGGGCTCCATGGGAATTCAATTTGCGAGACATATTTCGTTGGCTTGAATTACTTAGTAAAGATTATAGCCTTGGATTTTACTCTTCACCTGATGAGTATTTGGATCTCATCTATCTTCAGAGAATGAGGACTGAACAAGATAGGGATTGCATTATTTCAGTTTTCAATGAAATTTTTGGCCAGAATTATCAACGACCAAAACATCCATATTATCATATTGATCCTAAATTTGTTCAAGTTGGTCATTCACTTTTAAAGCGTGAAGATTCTCATATAACTCATTCTTCAATAAATAAGTTGCATATTTTACAATCTCAACTACGTCCATTGCAATCATTGATGAAATGTGTTGAAATGAATTGGATGGTCATATTAACCGGTCCTGAAGCATCTGGAAAAACCAATTTAGTAAGATTACTTTCAAACCTCACTGGAAACCCGCTTGAAGAATTCATGATGAATAATTCTGTAGACACTATTGAATTATTAGGTGGATTTGAACAATTTGATTTATCCCGACATCGTCAAATTGTAATTAATGAGTTATTAAATCTGACTAACGAAGTTACTAAATATGTACTTTTATCAACGCATGTTCAACTATCAAATTCTAATTTCCAAACTGATAATATTGTGCAAACTTTGATGCAACTTAATCATGTATTATTCACTTTGAAAAACTATTTCAAATTTAACATGCGCTTGGATTATTCAATAGTTGATTATTTATTGTCAATACTTGAACAGACCATTTCAAGTTATGGCTTAACCTTAACAATTAAATGGCATGCAATTTTCGATAAAGTTACTAGCTTGAAGTCTAAGGAAAATGAACCAGTTTCAGGCCTTTTTGAATGGGTTGATGGTGTAATAATTAAAGCATTACAGAATGGTCATTGGTTACTAATTGATAATGCTAATCTCTGCAATCCATCAGTTCTTGATAGACTCAATTCTTTACTTGAACCAAATGGTGTTTTAATGGTAAACGAGCATAGTATGATTAATGGTGAAATAAGGATGATTCGTCCTCACAAAAATTTTAGGCTCTTTATGACCCTTAATCCAAAAAACGGAGAATTATCACGCGCAATGCGAAATCGTGGTGTAGAAATTGCATTATTAAATACGGAAATGATCGAAAATCGGCAAGATTTGACAAGACTTGCCAACAGTTTTGGGCTTTGGCATCCTTATTTTCCAGCTGCTATGGAAAAATTTATAAACGAAATTAATAATATGTCATTGTCCAGTAAATTTCGACCAACCTTAAGATGGTATATCATGATTGTGAAAATGGTGATTGAAAGAATTCAACGTGGTGATAACTTTTCACAAGCTTTAATTTCATCGTTGCGACAAGCTTGTCATTGTATTGACAGTCATAACTTTGAAGTGTATTTTCAAGATTTTATCAAAACTTATGAATTCGATAAGATATACTTTTCATCCAACATGTTATTGTCTTCTAATTATCCATTTGTTGTTGATGGTGATTTATATAAAAATGAATCAATTTTGGCCAAAATTTGTTTGCAAGCTTCTCATCTATTACATATTGTGCTCAAATGTGAAACATCTGCCGGTCATAATATGAAGTCAATCATATCGAGTCCATTAATTATAGCTAGTGAATGTTTTGTTGAGATGACTTCTTTAGAAGATTTTCCAATACGACAATATTGGGTTAATTTTGTTTCCTCTGCAATGCAATCTTCGCATTTGTTAGTTAATAATAAGCAAAACTCCTTGGATTATACTCAATTTTTACTAAATAAAGTTATAAATCACTCTCTTGCTATTCAACTTGCTGACATTAAAAGTCGATTAGCTTATGAAATCGGTCTTGATGTGTCCTATATGTCATATCAGGTCCGTGTAAAATTTTTTTGTTTCATGCTGATGTTGAGAAAAGCTAATTGCCAATTTTTTGAATCATTAGCCTCTTGACATTACAAGTAATCTTCCTTTAATCAATTCAATTGATATATACACATCCAACCTTTGTGATAACTTGAAAACTGGTGTAATCCATATGTTATGGAAAGAATATTCCTCAAAAATTAAATCGTTTTATTTGTTGAAACATATTTTGAGGAATGAATATATTGAGAATGTGGCTTATGAACAGGCAATGCAGCAGAAAGTCTCAAATATGACTTTGGCACAGCAGTCATATTGCTATCATCAAGGAAAAATTTCTGAGAGTCAGTTGGGTAATAAGATTGTTGGGGTTATATATCCTTTTCTGGAAAGATCAAGACAATGTGTCCTTTCTTGTATTGAAAGAGAGTTAAATGATGATGAGGTACATTTACAATTTATTTTCCTGTCATTTTTTGTTAAGTGTGGATATAAAATAATTTATTATTGATTACTCTAGCTGTCTTTGTTATTTGAGTTTATAAACCAACGAGATTTCTTATGGGAATGTTTGCAGCAATCATCTCTCGACATTGGAGAGTTATCTACATGCACCAAAATGCTTTATGATATAATATTTTCATTATACGATAAACATCAAGAAATTATGCGCCCTTTATGTGATATTTTGAACACACTGACTGAAGTTACAGCTTTAACGACAGGATTATTTATGAAAATACTATGGAAACATTTTCATCATATATCTCTTAAAAATATGGATCTTTTTCTACTTAAACAAGAGTTATTTTCAATTGAAAGCGAATTGAATAAATACGATACAAATCAAGATAGTAAGTGTTATATTTTTCATATTCAGATTTAAATAATTATTTACTTTTCATTTTAATTTTGCTTAGGTGCATATAAAATAAAAATAATGCTGGTTGATGCTGCCGCCACATTATACTTCCTCGATGAAAGAACGGATGCTGATTCTATTAAATTATTGGATTCAATAAAGAAGATTCCCGTGGTATTTAAAATAATTGATATGTCATATATAATCGCGTCTTCTACTTCAAGACTTCTCATAATTTCTGCATCTTAGCATATTCGAACAAAGCTTGCTGATACTCGTTTAAAATCTATTGATTGCGATGTCAAGCCTTCCTTGCAAGATCCATGTGAGCTGTTCAATTGCATAATGGACTATTGGAGTGTTATTTACGAGATGCAAATTATGAGTCAGCTTCAATTCATTGCTGCGCAAGAATTTAAGTCTACAAATGTTTGTGTATTCTAAATTACCTTTGATTATATTTATATAACCTATTAAATACAATCGCTGTATTTGTACACAACGTTTTAGGTTGAGTATAGTACGATACTTTGTCAGATATCTGAATTTCGCGATTGGATGCTAATAAATTCGACAAGAAAACCGTTGGACTTTACTCCACACCAGCAACTTCTCTGGATATACGGAAATGATGCCAATGGTTTAGCATAATTTGGAAATAAATACTGTTTTATCATTGTTTGATAGAGATTTAAATGCTCATTGGTCAAAATTACTTTTGTCTAGTTCCAAAGGATAAAGCCGAACGCATGTTGAACAACATTATTCAGGATATTTTATATGGTTGGCACATTAAACTATGGAACAGCAGCTTCAGCAACGCTATTGTGGATAATGATGTGACCACCTCAAAATTTTCAAGGGCAAGTCATACAGCTTTTAGTCTGCATGAATTATCAGTTTGATTAACTAATCATTCTTTCCATTATGTACTATAGCATACTGGAGGCCCTGCTAGGTTATTTCAAAGCGCTTTTAGCGAATATTATTTTAAATTCACGTAAGGAATATATTAATTTTTGCATAGCCACGTATCATGCACTTAAATTTTGGGTTTAATTTAGTCATAGGCTACAATATATACCTATCGGTTCATTCAATTCTGCATTAAATTGTCTTGAAAATTTTGAAAAGCAAATTGGAAATAAATTAGTCATTAAAATAAATCGAATGAACTTCGATATTGCTTGTCTTGTGCAGCATCTTAAGCAGGTTAGTAGTCCTTATAAATGAATCAATTTCACGTCAAGTTTACTAATTTTACTACATTATAGGTTTTCCTTCCGCTTAGTCATTTATTTTCTTCAGAGTCTTGGCATGAAATATGTCGCAATTTTGAAATTATTCTTAATGCAACTAAAAGTTTACCGGTTCTCAAGACGAACGACACTATTGTTAATTCACTTGATGCTCTTTCTGCCGCCTTGAAAACAACACACGATTCGTTCTTTCTTCTCGCATTAGATCGATGGTTTATTCCAATAGTTAATTCCATTTCAATCATTTTCAAAGAATGTGCATCTCACACATATGACAAGTTGTTAGTGAAAATCGGACGCGCGTGGGTCTTCCTTGCATTAGGTTTTATTACATTGTACGTTCCAAATTATCCCTTTGACCCGACGATGGAAACCTCTTTTAAATGTAAGCAATTGCAATTTATGCAATCCCATTTGGAAATGGAAATCAATGTACGTGCTGATTTTGAACGGAATATAACTGGCGAGTCTACAAACAATCCCATTAAGAATCTAAGGCAAAATTTAGACGACGTTAGATCACTTTTGACGCGTAAATCTGTCGAGTTGGCATTGCGTCCAGATATTTCGCAAATTAACGAGCTTTTTAGACATATACATTACATTTGTAATAATGTTATAGATGTAACACATATTCTAACACTTCTGGACGACCTGGAAAAAGGAAACGATTCGTCTGTTCTTGAGCGTGAGATTTTATTACAAGAGAATACATTACAATTTATTCAACGAATGAATCAAAATTACCCTCTCTATCGTGATTTACTTCAACCAATTTTTATTTCTATTTTTCAATTAAAACATGGTATTAGGCTGGCTGCATCATCTTTCAAATGTTGGAACTCTTCACATGAATTAACAATCTTTAATGTGATAAAATGTCTTTTATCAATTACCAAATTGGGATATCCATTAGAGTGCATTGAGATACTTGCATCATCTGATTCATTGAAAAGCATTAAAAAGTTTATTTTTTCTGCAGAATCTATTACTGAAAAATGGGATAAATATTTGGAATATATGGTTGTCGTTCTTCGATGTTTATATTCTCACATATCAAAGCGTGGTCACATAATTTCTAAAGATTTAGAATTTATTCAAAGAATATTCGGAGAAATAGCAGACGTATACGTTGCTGCTGAAGATCAAAAGAAGAAAATCGCTTATGAAAAAGAATGTTTATACAAAAATAAAACTAAAGTGTACTCTAATATTACTGACGAGCAGGATGCCGAAGCAGAGCTTAAACGGATGTTTCCGGATTTTAGTCAAGATTTTGATGACACGAGTGATGATAATGAGATTGATAATGAGATAGATGATTCACAATCAAAGTCATTAGAAGATGTGGTAATTGTCAAAGATGAAATTATTATAAATATATGCACATTACATAAAATGTTTGTCAGTGACTTTAACTTATATTGTGCAAAATGTGTTGAAGGCTGCCCGAAGGCAATTCAGCAGACGTTCTGGGCAACTTTTAGCATGGCTCGAGATCTTGCTTCACTTAATAACAAATTATATCCAGAAGAACTTGATGACGCATTTGCAACATGCACATTATTAGGCACGTCGATATTAAAAAATTGGTTCGTAGGAAAGAATGAAATCATAAATATATATAGTTCAAACAATACAGTTCCAGAATTGTATGATTTCTATAAAGATCATAACATATTTGAAGCAAAAAAATTAATTCCTATAATCACAAACTTGCAACAACGTGTTACGGAATTAATCGTAATGTGGCCTGAACATGCAATACTTCACCAAATTAATAATATTTGCGAAAGGATCAAAGGATTCAATTTAAATTCACCTATTGCAAAATTCCTTACAGGATTAGAAATTTTATTACAAAAAACTGAAGATTGGGAAACGTATGCTAGTAGAGATACAACAATTAAATCATATCAAAAAGAAATTATTGAGCTTATTATTCAATGGAGGCAACTTGAATTGACTTGCTGGCCAAAGTTACTGGCGGTACAAGAAAAATATTATGAATTATCCGCATCCAAATGGTGGTTCCACCTCTTTAACTGTATAATTCTGCCCATAAATGATCTTAACAAGCAATCATCTTACGATAGAACAACTACAATTTTCCAACAGCACATAAATGAAATTGTTCGCACTCTTGATCAATTCTTGCAATCGTCGAAATATGGTGACTTTAAATCTCGGCTCGAATTAATCCGTTGCTTCTACGAACATCTTTGTACATTGGATCATTTTTCAAAAGTTAATGCACATAATAATTCAAGTGATGAAACGTATAAATCACTTTATAAACAAGCAGCTGATGTGCTTTGGAACGTCTACAAGTACTATTCCCAATTTCTTTATGAACTTGACAATGCGTTAGTTGATATGCGTAAGCCTATAGAAAAAGACCTTTGTCAATTCGTAAAGATTGCTAGTTGGAAAGATATAAATATTTATGCCTTAAAGCAGAGTGCCCAAAAAACCCATCGACACTTATCGAAATGTATTCGAAAATATCGAGATGTACTTGATAGGCCAGTTACTGATATTATAGCATCCTGTCAAACGATTTTCCCCAAGAGCCAGTTAGGAAGTAACAGTTCCAATGATGTTGAGTATTGTACGTACGATTGCCCGGAAAATTGGTTTCCGAACACTATTTCTATTGATCCTCCTGCAACGACATTAGAGCTACAAATAGAATTAAGCAAAGAAGTATTACCTGCACCTGACCGATTCATAAACATCGACAAAACCTTGAAAAAATTCCGTTATTATTGTCTTAATGATATTTTCTTATATAAACCACTTAGTAAAAAACCTATTCTCGATGATTTTGCTACAGAAATTATTGCGCGAATAAAAACGCTCCAAGAACAAACACATTACATAATGGATAAAGACAAAAAAAACTATATCATAAATCTTAAATTGGTAAAGAAAAAATCTTTAGTTGATCTTTTAAAAGAATTGAAAAGGATTGGATTGTGCAAATTTCCAAATACAAAGGTTATAAAGCAACAACAAGATCTGGTTGGCTATACTTTTCAACTTCCTAGAATTCAAATAACCAAATCATTGTATGAAACTGTAGAATCCTTACTCCATAAGGACGAGTCCACTTCAAAACCTCCAACTACGCATATTTTCGTACCAATTTTGCAAAAAGCTGATGATTATTATTACCGAATTATTGCTCAAATGACACATCTTCGACAAATATCCACAACTCATTCTAAGGATCTTTCACTTCAAGAAGTACAGAAAGGATTAGGTTTTGTAGAAGACTTATTATGTTTATTAATAGAAGAAAGAAAATTCTTGTGCGAATTAGAACAAGAGTACATTGGACTTTCAGGAGTCATGGTACAATTAGGCTCAATATATTCAGCATACAATTCCCATCGCTTAAATGCTAAAGACTGTGGATTAGTGTGTCTCGATTCTTTCGATGAAAAAAGTGTATGGAATATCAAAATGCTCTTAGATGATATAGAATGCATGTTATCACATTCACGCTTACTATTTAATATTCAAAAACAATTCTCCAAACATGAAGTTTCTTTTGAATATGAAGAGATCAGTCATAATATTGGTAATTTGTTTGAGATAATCTCTGCAGCTCGAAAGAGATTTAGTTGTGTATTCGACAGGATCGTTCTATATCCTGACTATGCAAACGGAAGTGCTGGAATTATAACTCAGGATATTATAAAAATGGCCAAGAATGAGATTCATATAATTAGTACTTTGTATACATATGTTAAAGATCTATGCTCTCGTCATCCGGATCTTTCACACATTTTCCAACCGCTTTGTGAATACATAACTTCTAAAAATAACCTGTTTCAATTTTCGAAACAAGATAATTATACGCATCCAAGCTTAAATAAAGAAACAAAGTTAACTCTCGGACGAATTGTTCACAAAATCAACAATTTACTTGATGAGATCCTACTATGTATCCAAAATTTAAGAAAACTGTCCGCTCAAAACGACATTCATCACCAACATCAAGAAGACATGTGTGATGGTTATATCCGTTATGAACATGAATGCTATCTAAACTTTTTAAAGAAACTACAATTAAAAATTACTTTGGATCATTTCAATGAGATCCATTCACAACTTTCTGAATTAATGGATGATAATAGATTTAAAAATGATATTTGTCAGGATTTAATTTCATGTTTATTACAAAGAATCTTTCCATTTATTCAGCAGTACTTAATAATCGTTAATGGATTTATGTTAAATTTTATTTTACACCATAAATCATTGTGTAAGCTCTCATTGGTACTTTGTAACTCTTTTGTAATCATTTTCACAAAAGGATTCTGCATGCCGGAAACAGAAATGAAAGATGATGAGTCAGGAGATATTGATGATAATGCACAAGGAACTGGTATTGGTGAAGGTGATGGCACAAAAGATGTGAGTGACGAAATTGTCAATGAAGAGCAAGTGCTGGGAACTCAGAATCAGGCTGAGAAGTTATCAGGAGAGCCAACTAATCCAAACATAGAAAATAATGGTGTTGAAATGGAAAATGACTTTGAAGGAACACTAGAAAGTACTGAACAACTTGACGATACGGATTCATCTCAGGAGGACGATGACTTGTCGAATTTGGATGAGCAAATTGGCAATCTTGATGATGACGACCAAAACGTTGACGAAAAAATGTGGAGAGATGGTACACCCGAACATGAGGATAGTGGAGAAGCTGTTGATCAAGTGCATAAACAATCTGACCCAAAAGGTGAAATGGATATTGTTGCAAAAGAAAATTATAGCGATTCTAAACAGGAATCACATCAATCCAAACAGTCAGGTGAAGAAAGTTTGAGTGGAGCCGAAGAAATTTCAAGTGAACAAAATGAACAAAATGATGATGAATACGACATGCAAATTAATGATCAAACTAAGATTGAATTTGATATTCCTCCGGTTGAAAATTTAGATCTTCCAAATGATATGAATATAGATGATCCTGAAGATGAATTTGACAATCAAGACAATGGAAATAAAGTTCATGATGATTATGATGCTGATAACCTTGACAATGATGATCTTTCTAACATGCATATAGATGTACCCGAACCTGACGCCATCCAAGAACCTTTCACGAAAGATCAAGAAGATAGTAAATCTGTCAATTCATTGGTAACTGAGACTATGGTAGATGAACCAGACAGCACTAATAATATGGATGATATTGACGGACAATCAGATAAAATGGATGATATTGACGGACAATCAGATAAAATGGATGATATTGACGGACAATCAGGTAAAGCGACTGCTATCCCAGAAGAAAGATCTCGTAAAGACTCACAAGAACATCTCACGAAAGATCAAGACGATAATAAATCTGTCAATTCATTGATAACTGAGGCTATGGTAGGTGAACCAGACTGCACCAATGATATGGATGGTATTGACGGACAATCAGGTAAAGTAACTGCTATCCCAGAAGAAAGATCTAGTAAAGACTCACAGGTCGTGAGAGAGAATATTAAACACGATGATAGTTCCATGAATGATATCCCCATGAATGATATATACCCAAGCAATAATGGAGAGAATAACGATTTAGATAAAAACCTTGGAACTTGTCAAGAAAGGCTGAACTGTAATTTAAAGGATGTCAACCCCCATAGGAGTCTTGGTGATGCTCTTGAACAATGGCGTCGGAGACTTGAAATAATTGATGAAAATTCGAGCTCCCAATTTAAACAAAACAATGATCTTCAAAGTAACATAGAGCAAAAATTAAACGAAAGTAAAAATTTTGAATATATAAAAGATGATGATGTTTCTCATGATCTTCAGGTGATGGCTGCAGCCACTGAAGATCAATTAAAAGCGGTTGAAACAATTGACAACAATGATCAAACTTGTAATTATGAATCTGTTTACGAAGACAAAGAGATCGAAGATTCCATTAATATTCAAAATGACAAAACTATTTGTGATGACACGGGTAGTTTACGACAGGAACTTGAAATTAAATTGTCAGAATGGCGGCAGTCCGATCGAAACATTACCAAATCAAGAGAACTCGGGCAAAAAGATGAAAACCTTACTTATGATTCCATTAATATTCAAAATAACCAATCTATCCGTGATGACACAGATAGTTTACGACAGGAACTTGAAATTAAACTGTCGGAATGGCGGCAGTCCGATCGAAACATTACCAAAGCAAGGGAACTCTGGCAAAAATACGAAAACCTTACTTATGATTTGGCTAATGGTCTTTGTGAACAATTGCGATTAATTCTAGAGCCTACCCTTGCCACGAAATTAAAAGGAGATTACCGGACTGGCAAAAGGCTCAATATGAAAAAGATTATACCGTATATTGCCAGTAATTTTAAAAAGGATAAAATTTGGCTTCGCCGCACAAAACTAAGCAAACGACAATATCAAGTCATGATAGCAGTCGACGATTCAAAATCAATGAGTGAAACTCGTTCGATTCAACTCGCCTATGAGACATTAGCTTTGATATCTAAAGCATTATCGCAACTCGAAGTTGGTGATATTTCTGTTGTTAGTTTTGGAGAAAAGGTGCAATTACTTCATCCCTTTGATCAACCGTTTAGCAGCGAAGCAGGAGCACAACTTATACATCAATTTACATTTGGACAAAACAAGACCTACGTCAGATCATTAATGGAAGCATCTATCGAACTTTTGGAACGTGCCAGAAACAGATATAATGGTGTAACACAGAGAAAAGAGTTATGGCAACTTCAACTAATAGTATCAGATGGTGTATGTGAAGACCATGAAACTCTTAAATCTCTTGTCAGAAGAGCAACTGAAGCACAAATAATGGTTGTATTTATAATTGTTGATAACAAATCAGAAAAAGATTCTATAATATCGATGAATCAAGTCAAGTATAAATCAGTAAATGGGATAATGACACTTAGTATGGAACGATATCTAAATACCTTTCCGTTTGACTATTATGTAATTTTAAGAGATATCAATGCACTGCCAGAAATTCTTGCTGATACGCTAAGACAATATTTTAGTATTGTTAGCCAGAATATTTTATAGCCTCTGATAAAACAATAGAGTTACTTCAAAATAATAGATATTAGTTATTTTTTTAATAAATTTCTAAACTCTAAGATTTTAAAAAAGTAAACATAATTTAATGAGAAATAACTTGGTACATCATAATAAATTTGTTTAATAAAAGAAATTAAACAAAGCTTTCTTCGGTTATATTTGTGTCATGGAACCGGAATATCCTATTAGAGTATTTGAATCGTTACTAGTTTTAAAATAGAGTTTACTAGGTACCAAACAATATACTGTATATATATTAACTCGGATTAGTAATTTGAATCATAGAAATAAGATTTTTACAATTTTTTGTTGAGTTAGAATTTAAAAAAAAATAATTGTAATTTATATAAAATAGTGAAGACAAAAATATTAAAAACTTTTTTAAAATTTTAAAATTAATATTTATATAAGTAAATTTTATTATAATTTTGATTAAATTTTTATTTTTCTTAAACAAAATAAATTTTGTAAAATAATTATCAAAAATTATATACAAATTTTAAAGCAAATCTTTTATTACTTTGTATATATTTAAAATTGATTTTTATTTCTATAAAAAATACAAATTTAAAAATAATAAAAAATAAATTGTTTAAAAAAATAGATAAAATAACAGAACTTTGCTAACTATAACCATTGGTAATCATTACTGAAATGCTATATTTTAAAATTTTACTAGCTAATTTGTATTGGGTATATTAGGCAAAAATATTTAAAATTTTTAAAAATTTAACTAAAATTTAAACTTTTATATCTGATTTTTGTTTTACTTTAAAATTTTATTCTAACTTTAAAAATATAGATATTAATAATTATTATAGTTATTTGTATTAAGAATTATAATTAAAATCACCTATGGTAATGATCACTACATTACATGATCATGTATAATACAAAAAAGTTAAATAATGTTTTACAGTAACTTACTCTTAATAGTATCACTATTAATGGGTTACCTTTGGTGTTGTTGCTTATGCTATATCAGTTTTTTTGTTAATGTTGTTATCATCTATATTCTTCGTCACTTATAGTGTTTTGGATTTTTCATTATTGGTGGTATTGAATTTGGTGTTTCTATTTCTTTGTTACCTATATATGATATTTTGGTTCCTTCGTCATATATGATATTTCTGTTTCTTCACTATTGATACCATCATATATAGTGTTTTCTGTCTCTTGGACATTGGTACCGTCATATATGGTGTTTTAGTTTTTTTCTGGTATGTGGTATTTCAGTTGTTTTCAGTCCATTGTGTGATGTTTATAGTATATTGTGGTATGTTAGTTTTGTAGTTTGTGGTATTGCTGTTGTCCTGGTATGATGAACTGTTCTAGTATTACCAACCTAAAAAATTTCATTAGCAAATTATATTTCAAGATTAGATGTGATGCAAAGAAACAAAACAAACCAAAATTGCTTATAACTCAATATTTTATCTATAAAACCACTTTCTGTATACTAATAAAAAAGTATTAGAGTTTTTATAACTCAACTTAATGTCAAAACCTAATCCTAATCTAATAGTGAACTTTTTTAGATTGGTAATATTAGATCAGTTGGTATGATAGCAGTTCTTAAATATGTACCAAACTTGTAGTACAGCAAATATTTTTTAAAGTTCATTTATTTTAAAGTTATAGTCAGCATTGGGAAGTAATTTATATAGCAATGAAAGCTTTTTATTAGAGTATTAAAGGTAATTCTTATGCTGATTTCTGAGAAATAAGCAATTTTGACAAAATGTGTGTTTGTTTTAATTTTTTTTGATCATATTATATTTTGTAGTTTAGGAAATCTATATCACAAACTTGGTACATATTCAAGAATTACTGGTATGATGTGTAGTATTCTTGTGCTTGTGTTATTTTGGTGGTTAGTTTGGTAACTATCAAATAGTTTAGAGCTTAGAAGGTTAAGTATATATAGTTTAGAGTTTGTTAGTTTCTAGTATAGAGAGTTATAGTTAGTAGTTTCAATCGTTATATTAGTTTAGTATTGTGTTTAGTAGTGACAAAGAGTTAAAACAATATAGATGGTCACTTCTGAGTTATTATATTTGTGAAACCAATATTAGGCTTAATCAAAAAAAACTTTAAATTTTACAAATCAAGTTGGTTTTTAGTTAAGTGTCTTTCAAATTGGTTTTGTCTTTTAATGAACTATTATTGCTACTAACCAATTCTTTATTTTCTCTTGAAAATATGATTATTTTGGTATATTAAATAGTCAGAAATTATAAATAAGATAATCTACTGCTTAGTTCTAAGATTACGGCTTCATTACAATATTATGATATTGGATACAAAAATCTATTATTTTTAAAATGCTACAGAATATCAAAAGATACAATTTCTATTGTAGTTTTGGAATATGCGTCAAAAGAATCTTTACAACACATAGATATAAACTAGAATATCAAATATCTAAGTTACATATACAAGACAAATAAACAAAAATCTACTATCACTTGGATAACAACAGGCTAAAAAATGTAGAATTTTAATTAAGTTTAATATTATTGTATAGTTTAGTGAAACTTTGTATAATGTGATATATAATACTATTAGAACTATTTTTGTATAGCATAAAACTTATTCTTTATTATAGACAAAGAGTTTAAATAAATATTTTTATAAAATAATAAATATATTATTTAATATAAATAAATATAAAGGGTGATAATGATTACTACTAATTATAGTTAGTAAAATTCATTAAATTTAAAATAATAAATAAATTATTAAAATAAAAAATAATACATCATTCTACCTTTTAACTAATTAAATTAGTATAGTTAAATATAATATATAATTAGAAGGCTAGTAATCATAATTTGGTATTTGTATCTTTATAAAATTTAAAATTTTTAAAACTTTGAATGAAGATATCTCAATAACTATCTGACTAAATTTGATGATTTTTTTATTTAAATTCTAGAGATCTGTAGAATTCAAATAAAAAAATCATTAAATTTGGTCAGGTGGTTGTCAAGATATCTTTGTTCAAAGTTTAAAAAATATTC